AACATGATTGTGCATTTAGAGAGGTTTTACATAGTACTTGCACTTAGGGGGCGTGCACTTAGGGGGGTGCGACTGTATATATATTTATACGTATATGTATCTTTTTTTCTAATGTAAAAAAAAAAGGTTCAACAGGCTTATTTAAAGACTGTCACATACTTTATGATTATCTGGCCTGGTTCTGCTAATGAAATGCTTTGGGTATAAAAACTTAGTAAATCTGGCATATATATCCAGGTACATGTATCGTTTTTTTTTATATCTTGAACCATCTATGTATTTAGAAAACAAATTTAATCCACCTTTTTTAAAAGGCAACGTAATTGGATTTGACATAAGAGTTATGAGAATTTGCAGCAAATCATGTATTAGAATTTCTTGTTTTTACTTTTAGCAAAATAATTTTGATGCAAATATTGAAACATTACTAATATATACATTTATATTTCAAGAGCGCTTTAGCATAGATGAAATTAATTTTGTGTATCAAGAACTTGACTCAATGACAAGTCTAGGCACATAACAAATTCAACAGCAGCATTCGTATTACCCTCCTTTTCAGCCATATATTATTTGTTATGTATTTTCTCTATAATATCACTAATATGCAATTTACGTGTCTCTACCTCTTTTTCTTCAGAGTTTTGAACAGGTACTTGTACTTTAGTTATTTTATCACCTTCATATATTTCCATATCTGCTTCTGCAAACTTTTTCTGAAACCCCTTCCAAATATCAACTGTTAATAATTGATTAGGGGTGAAACCAAAAAGATGTTGGTAAAACGTATGTTTACAGGGAACCAAATAATGACGAAATAATATGTATATACACTCTGGTGCTAATAAGTTTGGAGGCGGTTTTCCTTTTTGAACCCTTACGTTCATAGCAGTAATCTCACTAGCCATCAATTTTTGGATTGGGTATGGAAATTTATTGACTTGCTCAAGTATTTCATCATCTAGATTAAAAATTGAATTACGTTTGTGAGAAAAATTCAAAGCAGCTTTTTCTGAAGCAAGGGTTTTTTGATGTCTAACTCAACAATTCTATTGCAGGTATCTAAAATTAATAATTAATTATTATTATGTATTTAGTTATTATTATATGTACAGAAATATTTATATTACTGGCTATATCAACACGTTTTATAGTGCTAGTAATATAAATATTTCTACACCAATTAGTATCACAGGTAAGCAGATATATCATTCATATTTTTATTATATTATGTACACAAAATATTATTACTTACTAATAAATTCATGTTGTCTTGCAGCTGTTCTCTTAAGTTCGCTATGATATGACTCTAAGGGGTTTGTTGTTGTGATCTGAAGCAACAAAGGAGAATGTTGGTGGGCCCAAAGGGCCCACTTTTCCGTGTTTTTAGTATAGTTGTGATTAAGGTAACAAATGATTTTAGGAACAGGACATGCATTTATAGCATCACTTATAACTTCTTTACAATTAGCCTTTGTTGTTTTGTTCATTGCTAGAATCATTTTATTGCAGGTTAAGGGGTAATAGACTTTATGTATCCATGTACGAACCACATGCACGGTGCAAAATATGACTTTACAACTTTGTTCACTACGTATTGCACCCGGGAATACTTTAGATACACTATTCATTTCCACACTGCTTTGGTCGCATAGCACATAATGTGGGCACCATTCAGGAGCGAATTCGCATATTATTTTTAGTGCACTTGTTAAGGTACTAACATTTTCAACAATTATAAGCAGGTGCACGCCTATATCCCAACATCCATGGTTATCTTCGATATACAAAGTAAAGAGCTGCCATTTATATTTGTTGGCATCGTGAGTTGAGTCCATTAGGGTAAGCCACCCAAAATTTTGCAATTTAGCAATTTGTTTTTGATTAGCAAAACAAAAACCACGGGACTGTTCTAATTGAAAGTGCTTTACTTGATAAGCTTTTTCAGTTAAAAAATTAAAAGCACTTTAAAGATCGTTTTCAAGATTGTGATCACCAGAAGAATAGACATTTTGTGGTCCCCGCTCTTTTTGTTGAATATTGGCAGCATCCTTTTGAGTCAGGTTTTAAGCGAGATTACTAAGATCGTTTCTTTGAGCAAGTTCCTTAATACGAGGTTAGAGATTAAAATTAAATAATTAAAATTAAATAATTAATAGTAAAACGTATTGTATTTAAAAATTAAAACAAAAAAAAAAAATTATACAAGAAAAAAAAAAGAATAAATAAATTAAAAACAAAACTAAAAAATATAATAGATAATATGTATATAAAAAAAAGCAAAATTATATTTTATAATTTATACTAATAATTTAGTTGTTTACTAATTTAACTCTTACCTTTACAGTTGTAACAATATTTGGTGGCACATAAGGCTTATTTGTCTCTTGAGCTACCATTTGTCGAATAACTTCTGGCATTTTTATTAGATCACTTTCTTCGATCGGATGAAATAATCGGGTGTGTTTTGAAAACATTCAACTCAAACAGTTTGGGTTACAGAGATGTGTGTAATTTTGATTTTTGCTTCACACAAGCCTTCAATGCGTTTACTTGTATTTCTTTGTTTATTAATAGGTATTCCCTATTGTCTTGTACTTGATTTGTTATGTTTTGTAAAACGATAGAAATAAGTAGTCCAAAAATCTCCATTAGCACACTTTTAGCTGTTGTATTGCGTCCAAATGTTTGAAATTAAGAGCCAAATTTCTTCATCAAACTCTTTTGCTAGTATTTCAAACGTGTTACCAACATTGAAAAAGTGAGAACATTTTTGTTCAACTGTCATTCCTTGCATATTGCAAGCTAAATAGAAAAAATTTTTGATAGTTGCAACTCTATATATAATTCTAAGGTAAGTATTTCAAACTTATGTGTTATTATATAATTTTTAATCAAATTTACTTTTTTTTTATTATACAAGATTTTTAAATTAAAATACTTATTAATATACCACTGTTATTTTTTACTTGATGCATTATGTAATAAGTAGGTAATACACGGTTTTATATCAGGATCCCGACGGCACATCAAAATCCCGACTACCAAAGTCTTAATAGCAATACTGTTGTAATTTGGGTAGTGTCAGAATTTTGAGTATCGGGATTTTGATATTCGAGATTTTGTATTGGGATTCTGATATAAAACTATAATACACTATCCTGCAATAATCTAATTATTAGTTTTTCTTCTATAATAACCTTTCTGAGAGCGAGACGTTCTATCTTGTATAAACTGAATTTTAATATTCATATAAATTATAAAGGTCATTCCTCTGAAATTTTTTGTTGGGATTACAGAGAAGTTATCTGAAGTTATCGCATTTTAAGCATTTTTATTGTTAAAAGTAAACTAAATTTATTAAATTATGCTCTATTGTAATTCAGGTTTAAGCAAGAAAACAAGATGGTTAGCACTATGGTTGTCGACGCACTACAGAAGCACTTTTTCAAGATTATCCAACTGGATAAAGCATTATAGGTTTACACAAGTTTGTGAAAGACATAGCAGATCATAGTGGTCCTCACTAGGGATAGGTTCGGCTACAAACAACTACGATCAGATTTCTAAATGATTTGTTTAAGTCATTAATTAAAGTTATTCTGAAGTAAATTTTAGTCCTAGTTACTTATAAGATATATTTAAAGCACCTTCTCTAAAATTCAAAATCTTAAAATTCATCATCAGTTATTCGTTAGGTCAAGTTATTCCACAACCGATGATGATTTTAAGATTTTGAATTTTAGAGAAGATATTTTAAATTTATCTTATAAGTAACTATAGCTAAAATTTACATCTAAACAACTTTAATAAATAATTTATAAAAAAAAAATTTAGCAAAATTTATATAGTGATCATAGCCATTTGTAGTCGAACCCATCCCTAATCCTTGAGGTTTATTTTTCGATTAACTATAAATTTCAAAAACTTATTTTTTGAAATAATTTTCTGTTAGCTATTTAAAAATGAACAATGAGCTGAAATTACCAGTTGTTAGAGAAACTTTTAGTGAGCTTATATAGGTTCATTGGCAGTGTGATATTGGCACATAATAACACACACAGGCGTTATTTCGAACCTCTTATTTTTTTGAAAATTATTTTTTGACTTAAAATAATGGCCATGCATGTCCCAAAATAACACGCCTTCTTAAATATACCATATTACATATTTTGATCGAATTTTTCAGGCTAAGTTCATTATTAAAAGTAGGACTTTTGCTTGTAACCCAAAATAATTTGAATTACCATGCATGCACGTCTCAAAATAACAGGCAGGGTATTAAAATAATGCACAGATGCACGTTATTACGCTGCAATACGATAATGAATTTAAATATAATAGTATTAATAACGTAATGAATAGGTTTGGGTCAAAATCCCAACAAACAAAATCCCGACAGGTCATAATTCCGACAAAAAAATCCCGACAATCAAAAATCCCGACAAATCCTGACAATCAAAAAAAGTGTTCATTGAGCAATTTTACTATATAAAATCACCTA